AGTATTTATTTAAGAAAAATATTATAAATATTAGTCAAATAAAATATAATTTTGGTGATTTTAACAAATGAGTGGTAGTGATAAGTACACTTAAGGTTTTGGTCATCAATAATTTTGTTAAAATTATTAATTTTAATTGTAACTTCATCAATTTATAATTTTTAAAAATAATTAATTTTAAATTTTAAATTTTTTTATAAATTAATTTTTAATATATTTTAAAAAAATAAATATTTAATATTTTGTTAATTATTAATTATTTTTAATAATTGAATTAAAATAAAATTTTAATTATTTTAATTATCATAACAAAATTAATAATAGTGATAACCATAGCCAAGTGAGAAGGAGATATGTTGTTACTTTATTCGGGGAAACTTCGGAAATGTTTCCGTTTGGAAAGCGGAAGAAGGAGGAAATCCGCTTTTGAAAGGGGGAACCGTCCCACATTCCCCTGGTGACGCCTTTTTGACACTATATACTCCTCGATTCCTCTTTCAACTTAATTAACGGATATATATGTCGGTTGGCTTTTTCTTCCTTTTTTCGAGTTTCCCCTCCTCTTTATTCTAGCCACTTTTGTCCCCGCCTCTGGCCTCTTCAATTATAAAATCCCCACGCTCACGTGCCTTGGTTTTTACCTTGGAGCTGCAACAGGACGCTATGTTCACATGCCTAACACTCTAAACCATAACTATTTTCTTTCCGTATCCAAAATGCCTATTGAAAGGTACTCATATATACAAACTAACATAGGTGACAATTCTACACGTATTTAATGGCTACCCACATTGCTTATCTGTTATGTGCTATGTAATAGATAATAGGTGTCTATTGATCATGAATGCCAATGAGTTTTCAAGTTACCCGACCCATTTACAAGATTTGTTATGCTGAAAACATGTTTTAAACTTTTAACACATTAATACAAAAACAAAAAGTGGTTCTCATTGCTTCTTTTTTAAGTCCCATTAATGTCTTACAAGAAGCCTGTATAGTACACAATGACAATATGGTATGCTGTAGAAAATGGTGGATAATGTTATCTAGCCGCAAGTAGTTTTGTTGAAAAATGATATATATGGAGGCAAAGACGCTGCGAAAAATGATAGATATAGTGGATGTATAATCATGTAATCTTGGCTTTAAAGTTTTAGTTGATGAGGTGGTGGGTTAGTTTAGTGCAGGCACCAATCAAAATCTGTTTCCCAACTTTCTACACGTTCTTAACAATTGAGCAGCTCTGATATCGGCCCAACAAACTACGTTTAATTAAAATGATGGGGTTCAGCTAGGGGATATTGATTTTTCGACTGTTTATGTATATAAGTGTGTCCTTTTTCAATTTGCCAAGCAAAGTCAGTCTGTTTTTTTGGTTGCTGGGCGGCTGAATTAGTGGATGCAGTTGCATTTGGGGGAAGTGGGGTTTAATGGGGCTCGGTGGAGGTGAGATCGTCACCTGTTTCCGAAAATTATTATAAAGTGTTATAATTGTAAGTTTATTATGAACACCCTAAGCTCATGTATACCCAAATATATATTAGTGACATGGATCAAATAATAGTTGCATAAAAAAGAACTAACTCTTAAAATTTTGAACCATCAGCAAGGAAAGGGTTGGCTTAGTCGTCAAGGATCAACTCCTTTCCTCAATTCCTTGTCGTGGATTTATGATCAAATCTTGACTTCAGAAAAATGTGCTGTGGGCCTGTTGTTGAGTTCAATTTTGGGGCCCAATTATATTATCTGATTGTGTCTTGGGACTTTGAGCTGATTACATAACCATCTTACCCACCCTTGGCCCGTGGAGACATAATCTGGAAACTGGACTCAAAGTTCTGGGCCTGTGTCGGTGGTGTGTACAAATATTACTTTAGCTAACCTAATTGGGTTTCACCAAGCCCACCAAAGAGGAAACTGAAGAAAGAGCGGTCCCAAAAATCTCTTCAGCTCTGTAAATATTCTCTTACATAGGTTTAGTAACCACAGTAAAATGATTTTTAGTTATAGTCCTCTTCAATGGAGGAGAAGATCCTACATTGATCCATAGTTAATGGTAGTAATAAACAGGAACTAATTTGACCCTTATTTTGAGGACAAAACTGTAAAATCCGTGAATTGAAAATGGATAATGATAACGTGTTGATAAGAATCAGAGCTAAAAATTACTCTCTCAATTTATTTTTAATATATTTAATTTTTTTTATTTGAAGCATTTAAATTTAATTATCTATTTTTTCTTTTTAATATGTCATTTAATTGTTTATTTTTATTTTATTCTCATTTTAAAAGATAATTATAATATATAATAAAAAAGTATTATTTAAGTAGTACTTAATTAAAAACAAAATATAAAATTTTATCAATAAATTGTTATATTTTTATTTTATTAGATTAAAAAAAAAACCTAAATCTATTAAAAAAGAATAGAAAGAGTACTTAATAATTAATATTGAAGTTTCAAGGGTCACATGAATCTCGATCCATAACCAAGTCCTTAACACTAATGATGCACATAAAAATACCACTTTATGATGACTAATTAAATTAATCTGCTACATATATATATAGAGCTTAGATGCATGGAACAATAATAGTTACCAGCAATTATAGACGCCAGAATTGATTAATTAATAAATTAGGGGGTTGTCTTTGTAATAATTTGGTTTACATATGGATTTTTTCTTTGTCCTGTTATTGATTGCAACATTACAAGTGGTTAATTAGAATAAGATCAGATCTAATCTACATGGTAAAGTTAACACAAAAAGATGGACCAACCTGACTGACACGATGCTTGTTTAATTAGTAAAAGAATCACATTGCGTACCCTAAGCCAGACTGGCTATGGACACGGATAAAGACATGGCTTCCAGGACATGGGGATGGGGCTGTCCAAAAATTAACCTAACCTTAATATCAACTTTCTAATGCACGAAGGGTCAAGAGTCAGAGGGTCCTACATTGTCGAGTCCTTGTTTGCATTGAAAATTAATATTAAAAAAATTTGTAATAATTGCTTTTTGACTACAATTTTTTTTTACGTCAAATAATGATAATGGTTTATATAACAGGAATAATTTTTTTATTTTTTTAATACAATTATTTTTATTTTAAATTTTAAATTTAAAATATATAACTAGAAGTATTAAGGTTTTAATCAATTAAAATACCCTTTTATAACTTTTTTTTTTCTTTTGACTACAATAAACTGTAGTAATTGTAGCAATGGTATTACATTAGTTGAGGGGGGAGGAAATGCATGGTTTGGTTTTTTAATTCGTTTGATGATAAATTATAACAATGAAAATAACATCATAACTCTTATATTCTCAAATTTATCCCCACTTACCTTAGAGTCGGAATTTAAAATTGAGGTCTACATGTCCATCTTCTCTTATTGGCATAAATATTATGCAACAACTTATTGGGTGTTTGTGAATTATCGGTGCCTAAGGAAGTGCCAATTACATAAAATAATGAGACAGAGCACCATCCAATTCCAACCTACCAAGAAGCATAAAATTACACTGGAAACTATTAATCATTTTATTTTGAAACAAGAGATAAGCTTCTTTCCCTTGTCTTGCTAATTGTAAATGATAGAATATTCACATACACACACAAAAAATTCTATATGTTGATTAAATAATTAAGGTGGGAATATAAATGTACAAATAAAGACAGAAATGAAGCTAGATTCTCATTGATATGCTAGAATCGAATCTGAATGTTAGATGGATCATATTAACATTATTTTTACTGGGAATTTTAGAGAAATTTTTTAATTATGATTAGTAATATTTTGGTAGGACTTTTTAATTACTAAAAAACGGGAATGACAAGTGCTATTAATATTTTAAGAGTAAAAAATGTGAAACATGGTATTTTCTAACGTGCAATTGAAATGAAAAAAAATTCATTTTACCTCTGCTTACTCTCTGCATTAAAAATTTACTTTCACGCATTAATCTACTTTGAGATTATTGTTTTACTTTTTGTTTTTTTACTTACATATTTTATAATCATGACGAGAGCAACTATTTCTATATTAAAAATTTTATCTTTTTATTAATAATAAAAAAATATACAATTCACGTAAAATACAATATATATTATTTTTTTATTTACTTTTGTACTACTTACCTTTGTTTTTGCGAGGGGAGGGTACCATGAGTATGATTGATTAGACTGTCAATGTTTCTTCCTCCCCCCTTGCTTATTTGGATGGTAGAAAAAGAAGAAAGTAAAGGCGAGAGAAGGAGGATTTTATCTCTTTATTTTTTTTAGGTTTAAGCATCATTTTGGTCACTTAACTTTTCACTTTGATATTAAAATTGTCCCTCAGCTTTAAAAAAATATCAAAATTATCCTTAAACTTTCATTTTCGGTATCAAAATGGTCCTTCCGTCAGTTAAGTGCATAGGTGGCACGTTAAAATGCAACAAAATCACTGACTTTTTTAAATCTTAATGACATGTAAATCCAGCAAAAAAAAATCTTGCCAGCATGGCATGTTTTTATACACGCGGCAAAAAAAAATCCTCGCTTGTTCTTCCTCTCTCAAACCCAGATTTAGGTTTGTCTTAAACCCAGATCTGGGTTTCATCACATAAATTTGGGTTGTGGCAATAATCCACCGGCATCAAGTAGCGACCATCACCAGGACTATCATCAACACCGATCTGAGAGATCCTCGGTCGAACGCCACTCACGCGACCTCAAACCAACATTTCGTCCGTTGAAGAGAGGCACAAGCAATGGTTTCTTCGACGAGTATCCACAGCCGACTTCTCGAGATCTAGTAGTGAAGAGAGGCACAAGCAACGAATTGGCGAACGACTCCAACATGGAGGAAAGGAGTTATCGGCGCGCTGTGGTTTATTCCCGGAGAATCCACAGGTGACTTCTCGAGAATGAGTAGTGAAAAGGCGCGTTGTGGGAAAACGAAAACATTTAACCATTGCCATCGATTGTTCTTATTGGGTTGAAAGAACCCAGATCTGGGTTTCTTTTTATAATACAACGGAAGCAATAACATTATAGAATCACCTTCTGGCATCTACATCCAAGTCTTAGCTGAAGTTAAGGGTAAAGAAACAAGCAAAGCCATTACAACTGGAGAGAAACCCAGAGTAGACCCATCTGCAGAGGCAATGAAGGGAGGTGAATCACTCACTCGATCAACCACAAAGGAACAAGCTGTACAAGTGCCTTTGGTCGAACGATCCAGCGGACTAGGCACTCTTCCATCTACTTATGAACGCGTTGCGGCACGTCTCCAGGACACCGGGGCGGGGAGATCCCATCAGGTGGTGACCATCTCCCGTGAGAGGCTCCATGGCCACCAGAGCTGGGAATCCGACGACCACCTTTGGAGATTTGCGTAATGGGCTGGTAGCCACCGGATCTGATAACAAACAAGCAAAACAACCAGATAAAACAAAAAAAAAAGAAAAAACAAGAAAAAAGACCACCAGAAGGGGTCCAAAAGCCGACAGACCGCAAAAGGGTCATCGGAACTGGGAGCACGAAATCGATTCCATCATGCTTGAGCAACTGGAGATCCCGACGGCTCAAGCATCAAAAATCCGGCAAGCCCAAGGGCTGCCGAGCACAAAAAGGTGAGATCTGGGGAAGACGAAAGCAAAGACTAGAGGACTCTAGAGAACAAAGAGAAAGGAGAGCAGATCTGGGAAAGGAAGAAGAAGAGAGAAGAGAGGAGAGAAAGAATAAGAAAAGTTAAAAAATTGTTACATGGGCCCCATTAAAAGGGAAAGTTAAAAAG